GAATATTGATACTAGCATTAAGAATTGAATGGAAATGCAAAGTTACTATACTGAAACAGAATGGAAACGAAAAAAGCAGCAATATACACATACTTGACTTTTTTTATCTCATACGTGTGGATGATACAGCCCGTTGGATAAACTTATGCTTTATCCACGGGTAGATGCTTTATCAATAGCACTTCCGGTTTTGACACGATCCCTCGCTTCAAGATTTCATTTTATTGAAACTTTAATTTGTAAAATTCTTGCCCTTATAAAATGAATGATAGAGAGCAATAATGTCTTTAAACGCAAGAAAAAGACTCGTATATGTCAAAGACATATCTAATTTTATCAAGGTACAGGAGGCTGTACTGGCTACTTGAAGATGGATGTAACCCCCCCCCCCCCCCCCCCCCCCCCCCCCCACTCCTTCTCTTTAATCATATTCGGAGAAAGTAAAGCCTAGCAGTTAAGTTGCTGTTATAAGATTCCTTTAACATTTTGAACACTGCTTTCTTCTATTATACAACTTATGCCCATCTAGTTATGTAGCTGTAACTTACAATGGATCAACACTGAATCTACAACTTATCAGTAGCCTAGCCTTGTCTAGCACGTTTTGTACTGCCATCGTACAAATAGTTAATTTTCACGATCCCTTGGTCCTTACAACTGTCATTCATAAGTTCCGTTGATGTAAAGCCCCAGCAATTGTCACATAGTGTTTTCAAAGACACAGATGACAAAAATTCTAAATTTTGAAAATTATCTACTTTTTCTCGAGGCATATCAACATCAACGGTGCTACATCATCAAATTTACGTCATCAATTTGAATTTTAAATCATTCATGTAGTTTTACAGGGGAAATTTAAAAGTTTTATTAAACGAAAGTCGTATGAGATAAAAAGACCACCTATTATTTTGTGATTTGATATTGGCTTTATCCAACTCGTTGAAATGGTGTATATTCGCTCGGCAAGCCTCGAGAAAATAAACACCATTTCAACTCGTTAGATAAAGCCAATATTAATTCACATAATATAGATATCCTCTATCTATCTATTCATTTACAAAATTGTATACACTACGGTTAAACTGGATTTAAAGCATCAGAAATTTAATAATTTTTTTTCTTTTATCTTTAAAAAATTATACATGACTTTTAAAACATCCCCAACCCGGTCATTCAATTTCAGCGGGAAAGAATGCCAAGCACATTATAATTGTAGCTTGAATTTTACAATGCAAAAGGTTAATCAATTGGGCGGTCCCTCGAGATCTCAGCGAAATAAATATTCTTTGCAATTTTTAAATGCCTGTTTTTCAGATGATCAGGGGCATTCAGGGCAAATGTTTTATAGCCCAACGCAGTGTGGTTACCCTAGGACTTCCGGTCCAAGGACTGTAATTCAAGCTAATGAACAAGTCGAGGCGTGATGCAGTGCATAGCTGCATCTGCTACTCTCAATCATATTTATTTTGTAATTCCCAGTTACAGCAATGGAAACACCTGCTAAAGTCATTTTCAGAAATCATTTGTAAAAAGAGAAAAGAGAGGAGAATCTATTTCATGCTGCATCGTTTACCACTGACAGATAAAAAACCCCTTAAAATCTCATATTATTGCAAATGATTTTGTTCTATATACATATATTTTCACATATAACATCAGTGTTATCAAATTTAAGAGTCTTTATGCTTAAAATTCAGGGAAAAATTCATGAGTAAGTTTCAATGATAGTAATTCAGATTTTTATACTTAACTATAATTAACTATAGATCACTATAGTAAATTTTGTTAGGGAATGAAATATTAGTACTTTATATCCAGGACACCCTCTAAGCATAAAATACCCTGTTTCGTCGGAAAACAGTATTGTAACACTATTCTTTGGAATATATTATAACTCCTTGGAAAACACTCTTTAGAATACTCTTTTGACCACACGTTGGACATTTCCTTCGGATGTGACCTTTACTGCCACCTTTGAGTTTTAGTTTTTACGCTCTTCTTAAATATTTGGAACTTATCTTTGTAATTGTTGTATAACAAAGGCAATGGTCTATATTGATGACATTGGCATTTCAGAAACCATCATGTAAACCTATACAATCACGGTTGATTAAAAAACTTTGTTATTGATTTACACATCTTACAATATCAACATAAAGAAATAAGCAGTATGTTATTTTTATCTATAATTGCTTGCACATTTCGGTTCTACAGGTGACAGACATATACCTGAAAACGATTAGAATTGACTAGCATGGGTGTATATAAGGCAGAACTTTGGAGGAATCAGGTATTGAGAGGGTAGCTGGAGAATTTGGATGAATCAGCAATAGAGAAGTTAAATTAATCCATCCTAATAAGAAATATTCACTTAATTTGGGTACATATCAGATGTTTAGGTGTTGAATACTCAGTATATTTAGACATAATTTCTTAATTATTACAATGTTAAGGTGTGTTGTTTTCTAATTTTTTTTTACCTTGAATTTTCGTAAGAGTTATCTATCTTTGATTTTATTTAATAATAAAAAAAATCAGATCTTATACAAAAACTTTAAGTGTCATTCTATTTGTATTTTGTTCGGTCAATTTTTCCACTGCAGCATTTGTTGATATTCTAATTATTTGAATGTAAATTTAGAAAAAAAAATGCTCGGTAGACTTCAATACGATATTTGTTAAGTATTCACTGCTATAGGAACTTCAATTTATGAAATTTTCTCTTTGAAATCCAAATGCTTTAAATCAATATCAGAGTATTATGTCCTTGTTTGTAACATTTAAGGATAAATGATTGAATACCTAAAGGTAGGTGGAATATAAAAATAAAAGTAAAAGTATAAAAGTTATAAACACCAGTGGAATTAGTATTCTGGGGAAAATTACGTTAAAGTTCTAAATGTAATAAATCTGAAAAAGATGGAGGCAACTGGTTCTTATCTATCAATAGAACTTAGGGGGGAAATGCGTTACAAGTGGTATTTTATCCAGTCCTCAACTCTTGATCAGACAAATTTAAGTACTGTGTGATATATCCTCGGACTGAGCTATACATGTTAGGTAAGAAATGTCTTTGAAACCCTCTTTTCAAGAACAACTAAGCCATTTTTGTCATATTTATAAAGTAGCAATCTTATGTATGTAGAATCAAGTGTGTTCAAATTATGACCCCCAGGGATTGGGGACAAAGCAGAAGGACAAAGCGTTGTATAAGAATACATAGGAATCTCGAAAAAAATATGCTCTGGAACAGCAAAGTCATGATTTGTCATTTAATTTTGGAAACATCTTCAAGAGGTTTAGATTCAAATTTGTTTACATTTACGGTGGGTATGGCTGAACCACAATGGGCGATCAGAATTCTACATAGGAATACATGGGAAAAAACTTTAAAAAATTTCTGTTTAAGTACAGAAAAGCTATGGTTAGTAATATTGAGAGAAGCATCCTGAGGTTGTGTAAGTTTAAATTACACCCCATCGGATAAAAGATGGACTGATTTCTGTTTGGCAATTTTACCAATTACTGTAGAAGCAAATATGAATTAAAATATTCATTGATATTAATAAACCTTAGTCCTTACTAAAAAAAATAAATTAAAAAGAAATTGGTCAATCTAACAAACCAAAAAATTAAAAAAAGTAAGAAAATTGAAACTTTGATTGACCATGGAAATTTACTCTAGAAGTTGTTTCCAGGATTGGGGTCTATATATGTCTAATCTTCTTTTTCTTCGATGTAAAGACAACAATATGTGAATATACAAATAATATTTCACCTTAATATAAAAAATCCTGTTTGAGAAAGTAAATTACAACAATCTAAATTGTTTGCACATAGATTTATTTTCATAAGAACAGCTTTTTCCTGAGGAAAAAAAAACTTTGATACTTTAATGATCTATAGCTTACTGTGTCGAACTATGGTTTAAAAAGTTTTTTGTTGTCAGAAGACTAGAATAAAAATTAGAAATACCTTGGAAAAACATTTCTAGTGTAACTCATTACTTGCGGATTCGAATCCCACTGCTGAAGGTGGAGACCAGCTTTTCAGAGGTTCCATGTAGCAGTAGGTACTGGCACAAAAAATGCCTCACTGCTCAAAGTCAAATGTGTCGAGTACAGGTCTTTATTTTCTTAGGTTGAGTTTGAATTGAAACTTCTCGAAAGGGCGTTAATCAGACACATAAATATAGAGTTAACGCATTACTTTAAGCATTTCATTTTTAAATTTTAACACATTTACAAATTTGGGGGTTAGAAAGTTCTTCCACTGTTATATACAAACAAATGCTTAAATTAGTCAGAATTAAATACAAATTAAAACTTTTGAGTAACAATTACTTTATTACATTTTTACATTACGTTGCACACGATTCATAGAAGCATTAAACATAATTGTTGTGGACAAAACTTAATTGAATAGGAATTGTCATTATAATTGTAAAATATCATATGAAATAGCACAAACATTAGCAAAATGCCACTTCGCTGTCGCTAAATGGGGAAAATACATTCTAAGTTAAATAAATGTAACAATGTCTTTGTTTTATTTTTACATACTTATGATTAAAAGCACACTTTCATCCATATAAAAGAATAAAAGGAAATAAAGCAAACGTAAAGTATTAAAAATCTAAGAAAAAAATGCAAATTCAAAATGCAAAAATATTCTTATTCATTGCATACAGTTAAAGAAATACCTTTTATCTCTGTGCAACTAAGAGATTCAAAGAACAACTGACATATACATTTAGCCATATTGTAGTTTTCCTTGTTTATTTTTTACAGGTTGACACACTCTTTCTCTCTCTCTCTCTCTCTCTCTCTCTCTCTCTCTCTCTCTCTCTCTCTCATATTAAGCATTATTATTACCTCAAAAGGTCGATTTAAGAAATTCTTTTTCGCTAAATATGTCAATTTAATATATAAGGACTGTTCTATAAATAATGTCCTTAGCTCTATGACATACAAAATAGAGATCCTGACATCAGCTATTGGATAAAAAGATTTAAGACACAAGTTTTAATTGAAGGAGAATTTTTAAGTAAAATCATTAAGACTAGATCATTGAAAAGCCTATTTTGTTTCTTTCCGAGCACCGAGGACATTATTTATTGAACAGCCCTCGTATGTTTATCTTACTAACGTGTGTTATTTATATCTAAGCCTTTCTTTACTAAGAAATTGAGCAGTTCAACGTTTCCACCCTTTTTTGCGGCATGAAGGGCATGGTGACCATCAAGGTTGGTCATACGAAGTAAATAAGGGAAATTATTTATCAAATACCGACACATGTCTATCTTTCCATGGAAACAGCAGAGGTGTAAAACAGTATTCCCATCTTTTCTTTCTTTGATATTAACGTCTAGACCTTTATCTAACAGAAATTTAAACAAATCAATGTTTCCACTCCAGGCTGCTTCATGTAAAGCATTCACACCATTATGGTCATCAACATGTAGCAGATGAGGATAAGCCTTGACCAAGAATTTACACATGTCTATCTTACTGTTCCTACAACACAGATGTAATACAGTCTTCCCATCATTTCTAGTGCTATTGATATCAAAACCATGTCGCACGAGAAAATTGAGGAAGTCAATATTACCGCACCATGCTGCAACATGTATAGTATTTTCACCGCAATTGTCTCTGGTATCTATTGAATAAGGATACATGTCCAACAAGTGTTTAGAAATGTCTGTTTTATCATTTATACAACTCAGAAGTGGCACAATTTTCTCTTTTTCACTTATATCATTTATATCCAAACCTTTCTCTAAGAGGACCTTAAGCATTTCCATGTTTCCAACCCAGACGGCAGAATGCACGAGATTATTTCCCTCGTTGTCTTTGATATCTATCAGACCAGGATACGTACTTTCTAAGTACTTGTATAATTCCATTTTACCAATTTGCCTTCTTGAATCTTTGCTATACCCAATGATTGTATTCATCTTCCGTCGAAATACTATAATTGAGACACACAATGAAATCCCAATCAAAATGAAAGGAATCACAACAGGAAGCAGAGTTGGTATAAAAAATGCTGAAGTCGGTGATATGAAGATTGACACATCTGTATTACTGTAAAGAAATAACATGAATAGAAATGAGAACACGGTAAAGGAGAGAGAGAGAGAGAGAGAGAGAGAGAGAGACAGAGAGAGAGAGAGAGAGAGAGAGAGAGAGACAGAGAGAGAGAGAGAGAGAGAGAGACAGAGAGAGAGAGAGAGAGAGAGAGAGAGAGACAGAGAGAGATATTACTTTGATGTTCTATTCCAGAATGATACATCTGCTTCGTAACATTGACTTTGCTTTTCAATAGCGAAACACTCTTGATCTAGCAAAAGAAAATTACTAGTTTAAAATGAACATATTCTATATTGTTATTGCTATTTATCTCACCTCAATCAAACATATCTCATTCAGAAGTCAAAGTTTCAATCAGTAAATCCTTAAATTTTGCATATTTTTATATATTCATTGTTAAGTCTGTGCATCTTACTGCATTAAGATATTAAGCCAGAATTATTGATGTAAATACAGGTCCCTTCATGACATAGAAAAATTCCCATATTATTCCAATTGCAAGCCAAGTGAATATAGCAGTTAAGTTAGACAAGTATTACAATTTAATTGTTATCTCTATATATGTTTTTTTTATGAAATGTATTCATTAATTCGTTCTATGCATCATGCAAGGTATGAGAAAAAATTACCATAAAAAATTCTAATAAGAAATGAATTGCACTTATAAGATATAAAATGGTTGAAGTGTTTTTTGTCTACCTATGTAATATTAAAACATACCACTTTGATGAAGTTCGATCTGTCTTCTGTCGTAGAGCTCTATCAACACCGATGTCTGCTGGTTAGGGATGCAGACACATATTTCCCTGCTGTTGAAGTCAACAGGACAGCTTTGTGACGCGGATGACGTGTTCCATAGCGTACTGTTTTTTGGACATTGATCAACAGTGGAGACAGGTAACTGATATTGTAAAGGTCGCATATTTACAGGAATTTTTCTAGAAAAATACTCAAAAATTCGTGGTCCCTGGCATCTCATTAAATCTAAATAAAAAGATAACAGACTTTAACTCATTACGTCTACAAAACGTATACAGTTTACAAAATGACAGTTTAAATTCCATCAGGGAGTCATCAAGATGTGTCTATCATGTCTATAATCATTAATTAATTAAATTTTTCTTTCTTTAAAAATCCCTGTCTTAAAATTATAACTGTGATCATTTGTATCAAAAATGAAAAAGGGAAAATACTGAACAGTGGTGGATGAAACAAATCTGAATCTTTGAAAGAGGTATAAAACTCAAACCCACCGGAAATGCCAGAGGTTGGATCAAAAAGAAGTAAGCATCTAATTTCTTCCGGTTTCATCCGCCCTATGTATTGACGAGTAAAACAGAATATTCAGTAGTTAAATTTAGTATAAAAAGGCGTAAGAATTGGCATTAAACCCTTTATTCAAATCACGACCTAATGAAATTTGCTAACAAGGTTATTATAACGAAAATAGAATAGAAATGCTAACTTTAAACGAGGTTGTTGACATCGATCCATGTTACATTTTTTTAAAAAAATGATTGTACTCAAAACATGACCTTGAATATCGTTTAATTTAGGAGACATATACCCCCCTATATGCAGATGATAGCCGAATATCACTAGATGCATAAGGAAAGTTGAACGATGACAAATCTTAAGTAATCTTGATTATTAAACAGTTTATATGTTAGTTGGCCCCTCACGCCCAGAGACAGAAAATCATCCAAATATGATACAGATATTACAGATAATGTAGACTGAGTATCTTTAATTTCGAATTCATTGGGATATATGGTGAAGGCCTATGGTTAGAAATAACTTTTGTTAATTGAAAACATCTAAATGTTAAAGCAAAAGCCAAGTCAAGAGTATAATTTTTGTAATGTACATAAAAAAAAAATAATCTGCTATATAGATATAATAAAAAAAGTCGGTAAATGAAGGGGCACAATTAGTGGCCAGGAGAATTCGCACTCTTTGTTGAAAGACTTGGTCACGGAAGACTACATATATATATTCATTGAGGGAGTCAATCGTCTTTTTTTATATAAACAATAGAGTAAGTTGTAAGTAGAAGAAGTAGAAGAAGAATGACGCCCAATAAATTAACACCAAACACAAAACACGAAAGTCCGTCTTCTCAATCTTCATCGAGAAGGCAGCCTCTTATCCATGATGAGGAATTGTTTTTAAAAAACTTAAAACAGTCATATATTGTTTGAATTCCATAAGAGATGTTATTTTCTAGAGAACAATTCAACACACCGGTAGCATTTCCTTTAAAAGAAAATCCCATGTAAGGATAGGAAAAAAAAAGAAAATTAAAGGATTTGAATTCTAGTGAAAACTCAATTTCATTTAGAAAAAAGGTTTGATTTAATATAGTTAAAGCTTTGATACCATAGATTACAACTATGATTTACATTAGCATTTTCGTAAGAGTTTGATTAAGGTTTCACTCCAGGGAGGATTCTAGTTTGCTGCATGATGAGAATATGTCATGTATTTGAAAAGTTCTTATCTCTAGTTTTTAGTCAGCGATTTTTGTCAATAGTTTAAAGTGAACCCTTACCCTAAATAACTTAACCCTTTCTCTTCCGGCGCATTTTACGTGATTTTGGAGGTCTTTTGACATGACATTATTAAATTATTTCTAACTTTTTTATCCAAGGGGAAAGCTAGGCATAATGCATACCATTTTGTAGGAAATTTCTTTCAGATGATTTTTTATGACGGTTTAGATACTCAACCACTGACCTTATTAGTAAAAATTGAGGTCAAAGGTCAATTAAGTGCAAAATTTTATGGAATTTTTTGATACTTTTTCATCTTTAAGCTAAATATTAAGTATGATGTATGTTGAAATAGGAAATTTGGGATATACCCACAAAAGAGCATTATACTGTACTACATGAAACACATAAACTTTTTTTTTCAATTCTGCATATAATTACTTAAAAGGGGTTGCTTAGCAACGCAGAATTCTTTAATTTTCGGGCAGAAATTTTCATTTTTTACTCATCCTAGACACATTTATGCATCCCAGCAGATATAAAAGTTAAATGTGAGGTCATAAAATTATAAGGGACATACAACAGATAAATTGTCATAAAGTTTGACCTCATTAGAACTATTTTTAGGAGGTCAAAGGTCAAATTAGTGCAAAAGTTTCATCAATTTTTTTTCAATATTCTTGCCATAATTTTACACAATGGATGCTGACATGGAAAATTCTGAATATACTCTCAAGAAGGGATCAGAACTGCAATATCCATGCATCATTTTAGTTCAAATATCTGTTTAATGACCTTTAAGTGGTTGCTAAGCAACATCATTTTAAAGTTTTTGGCTATATACATGTTTGTTATTTCACATTCTGGACAAATTCTAGACACTTTTTGTATATTTCATGATATTGCTTGTAAGATATGGGCCATAAAGATGAAAGAACATTTTTGTATTAAAAATTGACCTTGACACTCTTGTTCTTCAGGGGGTCAAGGTCATATCAGTACAGAATTATGCTTTAAACTGTAAGTAAATATCAATTTTGAAATGCTTCAAACATTGATAAATCATCTAATAGTTGACATAATAAAAATGGCGAATGACAAAGTTTGCAAGCAAAGAATTCTGGTCTGCTTCTTACAAAGCCCTAGCAAAACATGTATACTATCTTTTTGTTAAACAAGAAATCTATTCTCTTGATGACATAAAAAATAATCTTTATTTTTCATGGATTTAATTTAACTAGAAAAAAAATCTAAATGATTTCATTGCAAGTTTTTCTGGTATAACAGAGCTTAAGGGGTACAATAAAGACTTGACATGTTATCTTGGAGGGAAATAATAATAGATAGCATTGGTAATATTTAATGCAAAACTGTTTAGTCAATAAGTTGAAAATTTGACGCTTATATCCAAATAAACAAAAACAGAAATATTGCAAGATGAATTCCAAATCAGACTGAAATCTTCAACAAAATGTTGAAGAGCACTTTTACTTTGTGTCCACCATTCTTTTATCAACTGTCATTTCTCTGTAAGACCGGAGGAAATTCTTTGACTTGTCCAAGACATTATTATTTGCTGTCAAGTACAAGTGATCAGCTTCTATCCTGTAAAAGATTTAAGTATTTTGAAACAGATACATGTCATTGTATATATAAATTTATATTTATAAATAAAATTAAGAATGCTAAAATTACTACGTTTATTTGATTTTCCTTTTAAAATTAAAATTGTATTCATTATGTGATCCAAGTAGTTAAATGATATTGTTAAGTCAATGTATCAGGAGTGATAATTTAACAACTTGTAGTAAACCATCATGGTAAAATAAATGAACTAAAACAAATAGCATATATGGCAATCTGACTAAAGCCTGACCTCTGTTTATGCTATCGCAACATGTAAAAAAAATCTGGCATTAGATTGCTACGAAGGCCAGGAAGGGACACGTAAATTTTTCAAAAAAGTAAAAGATGATATCAAATCGAATTAGACAATCTAATCCCAAGGATTACTAAATTGTTCCCTTGATTTATAATATGAGATCTCGAATTACACAATCCGATCTTAAGGATTACTAATTCGCCCTCTTGATTCATAATTTGAGATCTCGAATTACATACTGGTAATTTGTTTTCACAGATTGATAATTCAACATCTTGATTTGTTACGTCAGTTTTATGATTTTGGAAATCTGTGCTCTTGAATTTCATTACATATATGTACAGAAACATCCAACCATTTTAATCAATATGTGCATTCTATTTATTTTGTTTCAGCAACCGGTCGTTTCCAACCTCTTTCATAACTAATTCAACGTATATTTATTTTAGAAATATTATGATTACACAGGACCCATATTCACTTTTACTACATGTATCTAGGACTTTCAATTATTCTACAAGTAACACAAAAACTCTAAGATTTTTTGTTGTACAAATATCAGTACTAGCACATGGATTTGGAAATTTTCATGTATTTTTCTCATTTTGGACCTTAATATGTAAATAATAAAAGTTAGGATGTAAAATACTACAATATTTTATTTTTTAAACATGTACCGGTATTACCATATCCGATATGTACAGATAAATAATTTAAACGAAATCATGGGAAGGGTTTACATTCCGAGGGAATGAATCATTTAAACTAAAAGAATGAATTATACAATCTGAGATAATGGACTGTGTAATTTGAGGGAACGAATTGGTAATCTGTGAGAATGAATTGGCAATTTGTTATAACATATTGTCAATCCGAGAGAATGGATTGTATAAATCAAGAACTTGGTTTACTTTTATAAATTTTAAAAATTTTATGTCCCTTCATGGCTTTCATAGATTTCATACCTGCATGGCTGCCAGGGTTGTAAAAAGAAAGGAGACAATAGACTGCAATGTTACTTCAGGGCAAAATTCCTGGCGCAAGGCTGTTCGTGATCATGGGAGTGTTGATAAACCATCCAGGGAGTTTGACCACCCATGTATATGATGTAGGATAATTGGAAAGTGTCTGAAAAATTTAGAAAATGGAAATTCTAACCACATACTTTATGCAGATTGGAAATACAACAGCAGTCTATAAAAACAGTTTGTTCCATATCTCAGCATTCATTCAGATAGATATTACATGTTTAAATCATGTTATATAATACGTCTGTATGAATAATCAAGCATCATAAGTATTATGTGTTTCAAACACTTATTTTTCAAAATATAAATCAAATGTTTATAAACTTGTATGAATGCGATATCATGAGAATGACACAAATGAAATTAGATTTTATTTTTTTAAATTTTAGAAATACAGAAATTTTCAATACCAAAATAAAAATTTACCTGTTCATTGGTGTCCTTACATATTAATTGACCTTCCGCTCGTAGTTCATGGTGGGCTTAGAAAGTGGGTATTCACAGATGAAAGTATTGTTGCATATGCTGAAAGCACCCTAAAATTTCAATGTGAAAGTGGTACATGTACACCTATACACACTGGTACATAGATACTAAAAACAACTATCCATTATTATGACAACTTTGATTTTACTTTGAACTTACGAGTGATTGTCAAAAGCATCAAAATTCAAAAGCAATGCAAAATTGGCTGAACGATACGAAACACGCACACTGAAACATAAAGATCTAGTACATGTGTACATTTAGTTTTCTTTTGAACGTGAACTAATGCGTTTTAAACTTAAACTTTTCAGTCAATATACACGTATTCTCACCTGCTAATACCAAAGGCATATCCGTATTATTTGATTCATTGATGTGATGATCTTCGTCGTGAAATAATCATGAAAATTGACGTTCAGATTTCGGATCACCATCATGTTTACACCAAAGCGGAAACACGTGTTTATTTCAATTCGTATCAACTCATACAGTATTGAGTCGTATTTATTTATAAATGCGAGTTTTTGTATTGTTAAATATAGATCTAATTTAATTGCAAATTAATAAGTATACAGTATAACAAGATACAACAATATTAAAAATCTGATTGATTTTTTTTTAGTAAAGATCGACGTTTTGGAAATCTACAATTTTTATCAATATTGTATATCGCTTCATGAAATATACATCATTACATGTAGATGAATAAATCAACATTCACTTCACAAAAGGCAGAACGAAAGTATATATTTGTTTTTTGAAATCTATTTTTTTTTTGTATTATGCATTTATTTCAGTAAAAAATATATTTGAATGGTCAAAAAAGTCTTATAAAAGAATTTGTTGTTTCGAGTAAGACGCAACAATATCGACCTTGACGTTACATGTAAAATTGACCGATTTTTCCATAAAAACTATGCAAAGGTCACAAATTCAAATTATCGTAATTAAGAAAATACTGAGTGTAAGAAGGCATATAAGGGCTTGTTGGAAAGGAAATTTTCTCTACTATTACCAGCTTTATTTTGTTTTCCCTATTTCAACACAGAAATAAACGTAAAATTGAGCTTTGTTTAAATATTACGAATAAAATTGATAAAAAACACATAAGTGCAAAAAAATTCCTGTTTTTAAAATATATATCAAAGTAATAACAATAATTTTTACATATTTTAAAAGTAGAGAAAATATTCTTAAAGAATATACCATGCTTTCTTATAAAGTTAATCAGGAAAAAAATTGTCAATCGTCTGGAAATTCGGCAATCGCTTTGGAAAATTACGCCATTTTCAAAAAGTCTCGTTTGTGTTTACAACGTAAAATCGATTAAATACCGGCAATCAAGATATAATCTTTTTAGATATTTTAAAAGTAAAGAAAATTTCCAAAAAGATGATATATAGGTTATATACCTTCATGCTACCACAAAATAGATACGGAGATTTTATTTTCGCGAAGTCGTGTTTTAACGCGCCACCGGTCAATTTGACCGGTACGGAAGTGAAGGGGTTAACTTAATTTGGAGGAAAATGGTAAAAACCAATTCGTAAAGAAATTTTTTAATTTTTAGAAATACTAATATTGTTTGAAATTAAATTCGGTCTGTGTTTACTTACAAATGAAACACCAGTAGCCCTTTCGTACATAAACACAAAAAAATTTAAAGCCGCTTCATCCGAAACAGGCACATATTATCTTAAACAATAAAAGTTTGTCATTACATAGATAATATATGAAAATTAATTATAAGATTGACTTAATAGTTTATTGCAACAATCCTTACATGGAAAACATTGACCAAAAACCTTGTTGACAAACAGCAGTTCCTGACGGGAAGTTAAGATCTGTTTTGAAGTCACCTTTGAAAACAATACTTTTATCGGTTACTAGTAAATCTAATTATGAAGAGCATTCAAACCCGAGTATTTTTTTATCCATTGGTAGAATCCTTAGTTAGTCATGATATATCTTTTAAAAATTAAGAAATTAACTGAATATAATCCATAGTAATTTTTATATTAATATGCATATTTACATATTTATAAAGATTTTTTTAAAAAGGGAGTTTAGTAACGAGCGCTAAAATATTACCCATGTACACTTTGTTGCGGAAAAAATGCTCAGGTTTGTTCTTCATGAGATATACATGCAAGCGATAAATTTAATTTTTCGAAGGGATTTCACGCAATGCAAACAAAGAATTATTTTTTGTGTGACCTAACAAAAATTATTTTTTTAACTTCTGAATTTCGATATCTTTAAAAAGAAAAAGACTGGGGATATAATTTGACAAAAGTTGAAATAATTTATGGACAATTATTCCTTAAGAAGAAAAACGAATATATTTTTTTAGCGATTAGAATCTGACCAAGCGGCTTTAACTTAAGAATTTTTACGACAAATCTTAAGTATTTTTTTTTAAAATGCCTTCGTAGGTAATTGAACTGAAGATTTTACTTACAACAGGCAACAATCTGAATATGTCTAATGATCTTTAGAAAAATGGAGGACATATTAAATAAATCTAAGTTTTCAAAGTATATCAGGGGAAATTATCATAATTGACAACGTTGTCAATTATGATAATTTCCCCTGATATACTTTGAACTTTGTTAACAATGTTCTTAACTTTGTTAACAACGTCTGTGAAGCAAAGAAATTTGAAATTTGAGGTCAAAATCAAGTCTGACATGTAGTATGTATTTTTATTTTTTAACAGTAATTGCGAAAATATAATGTTCTGATGTGGAATTGGCAAAAAAAATCATTAAGTGTATTTAAGTTTTCATGCTTTTATTCTTCATTAAGATCGGCTTTAAATATTTATGAGAGGGTTAGGGCTTTCATCAAGTTACCATACATTTTTCAAAAAGAGTTGCTAAAAAAATTTGTAAAAAGACAATAATTCGTAAGATTTTTTAAAATTTTGGAATGGTATTATAAGAATTTTCTGTGAAATGTCCACATAATGCACTTGCACTTAATTTTATTTGGAAGGTTTAAGATAATGAACACATAATCAAAGTTTGAGATCATGAACACTTGATCACAGATTCAAAAAATAACAGTCAATTTACAAATAAAATTTGTATCTATAACACAAGTACTCAGAATACCTTTCAATACTATTGGTTCTCTTGTTTTATTTTACAAAGGTTTTAGGTATCTTGACCCGCATAAAGTGAAATAGAATTTAGCACATGTATGAGAACTATTTACACACAAGTTTCCATAAAGACTAATTGTGATTACATAAAAAAAAATGATTGTCTGATAAAGAAGCTTGACTTTTTGACTAAAATGGTATATTTCTGACAAACATGGTATGAAATGATGGTATCATTAAGGAATATAAAAAAAACGTTTTTACCTGCAAAAATGTCTGCCAACACAAGTTTTATCTAGGTTTTTATCTTCCGGTTTTTAAAATCTCTCGACTTTAAAATGTCATAAAGAAAGTATTGTGTGTTTAAAATATTAGTATTATTCATGCATGTGATATGGGTACGGTAATACCTATTCAGCCTTTTTGGTGTGTTTTATGCCAGATAAGATTTAGAAAATATACCATAAGTGTGCTCAAGTAACTGTATTCATATTGAACTGAGTAACCGTTACCAATATTTAACATTATCTACTTATCGCTAAAAGGAACCTGTAATAGTAAAATAGATAATTCAAATTACAATCTAGCTACTGATTTGAACAACTGATGTCAGAAATACGCGTCGAATGGAAATGGCTCTAGTGAGCATTATATTTTAGACTTCAAATCGTTTTAAAATATTTTGTATAAAACCATTCAAATCTGATGTTAAATTATGTTCATATGCAGTATATACATTTTACGAGGACTTTAATACCTAATGTATCTTAAACAAAAATACATAAACGGGTGTACCTGAACGAAGAACTGGTTTGAATGGACAAATATCTAATCCATCAAAACAACATTCTACTTGGCCGTTCAACCACATCTTACTCATACATGTATCAACATGAACAAAATAAAAACAATGCGTTTTCATGTATAATTGCTACTATATTTCCATTCTACAGGTTACAAGCATACACCCTTCAAACTATATTTTAAACATTTATACATACATTAAATTATTAAGATTTTTAAGCCTGTCATTCTTTTTGGTAAAGTGGTGTAGTTTTTATGTTATAATCACAAGGACTCCTAGGTCAAGATCTAGTTAGTGTCTTTAGACTAACTTTGTGTGGTAGTTCCATTATGACATCAAAATCACTTTCAACTTTCTTTTTCCATACTTTACGGCTCTAATACAATTATGTAGAAAAAAAAATCATGGAATTCTGTTCGAATTACCTGAAAAGTAGTCCGAAAAGCTGATAAATTAGACATTATTTTAAATTAATAAAATCATGAATATGAACATACAAATTTCCTTTTTCGTAAAGACTGTAGGCAATCTAGATACATTTTCCTTGTCTGATTTGGAAAAATAGTCATTCCCGTATAATTCATACAAATGAAAAAACGCTATGTCGCCAATATATTTCAAAGCTATTGTTACTGATATTCAAATTATTCCTTGACCCTTTATGTTAACATATTTTGTCACACAAAAAAACATTAGCTGGTATATTTTTTGATATTTTTTCTCCGAGTATTTACACAGAAGGAAGTCCGGAATTGTGTAAAAGGCGATGTCGCCATAGTATACCTTACAGTTTGAATGTGCATTACTGGTTGCATTTTGTTCTAAACAAACAAAAATTGTTTTAATTAATGAAGAAACATGTCAAACTCAAATAAATGAAACTTTCATTGATAAATGAATAACGATTTTTTAAAAAATCTTTGATCATCGCTGTCGCCAAATTTCACCTAACCTACCGTTACATTGTTTGAATATTTTTAAGATAATACAATATATCGTTAGTACAGCTAAAACTGTGTTTTTGTGTCTAATATATATTAAAACTCTAGCACAGAATCTCTTTCTAGGCAAATCAATAAAACCGTGTTCAAAATTTTTAAAAATATGGATTTTTTATAATGTCGCATATAAGAACCTAACCTACGTGACGGTGATTGTGAAGAAACAGAGGCTATGTGAAGTACTATTTCAATGCAGTTGATTGACATCAATGGGTATGTCTATTAACAAAAAAACAAATGTAAGGAAAGTTAAACAACAATTCAGAAATAAAGAAATTACTAATGGTTCTAACCTCCGTAACCTCTAACCTACTTAAAAAAAATTCAACAAAATCTGGCGTGTGCATCATTTTAGGTGTTTAAATCTACCAGATAATGCTGGAAGCTTACTCTTTAAGTTGACAACAAATTGGAATATAAAAATCATAATGCGTTAAAAGCATAAAATAAAGGTATTTTTGAAAATATTATGGTAAAAATGGCCTTAACGTAGATGTTTTTTGCATATTACAAATAAAAATGATAGTGTTTTTTTTTCGTTTTGTAAATGTCTAATATTCCGTAATGTGTATGGGCACAAAAA